ACTTACAGTGCAAAAAAGAGTTTTTCGTTGATCCCTGAGATGCAGGACACAATGCCTAGTACCAAGATGATTCCTCCCATCCAAACATGAGCTGGCTTTACAAGAGCACGAGCCGTCGTTGGAGTACAGGGTAAGAGAAACGCAGTAAAACCCATGACCCACTAGAAAAGAATCAGAAAAAAAATGAGAATTTTATTAATTCTTGCATCACTGCTGTCATCCATCTACATATGAACTATGTGAAACTACATTCTCAGTATCCAAAATGTTTGAAGGAACAGTTTCTTGCAAATATTTGGGATACAAACAATGTAGTTTAATATATTCATATGTTGATGGTTCATTGTTTATCCACTATTGAATTTCTTATTTACAGAAACAACTGTACTACTGTACATGAACAATTTTCAACACGATACTCACCTGTGCAGTAAAAAGCGCAGTGGTACAAATCCCCACCCAGCTGTGGAGGGAATAGAGGTTGGCTGTGTGGTTTGCATTGTGGTAGTCGAACACCGCACAAAGCCCGATAACAGACAGAACGAAAGAAAGGAGCAGAAGCCCAGCATGTAACAGCTTCCATGGGAGCTTATTGTGACCCCACGTCAGAGGAATACGGTACACTACGGCCGCTGGTTAATAGAGGAAAAAAGACACTGAGGACAACTGTCACGTAAAAGTCTGTTAAACTGACAAAAAATACGCTAAATATCATAATATTTCAATGTAACATGCCAAACTTAAATCTAACAATAAAACAACCAAACACTTTTTACAACATATTTGCTTTGCAATGCTGTGTTATCATATTACAGCTACAGTAGCATGAAACACAAGCCATGATAATACTGAAATCAAACATACCATTCCCATAAAGCACCACCATGCCAGTGACCATGAAGACCGGGTGCCAGTTGAACTGCTTGACTGAGCCGTCCCATGCAAATCCACCTCTATAGCTGTAATTCCAGTGAGCTACTAATGCCACACAGGTGATCCCCAACATCAGGCACAGCAGATAGGTTAGGTAAAATGTAACAATTCCTCTCATCCTGTGAGTGCTACAGAAACAATACACATGCTATTTAGCTTGAGAAATTAACGTTGCCTGACACATGTTTTAATTACAGAGGTGTTTACAAAGACATTAATTAATTAATAGC